AGAATATGTACAAATTATTCAACCTAGCAGTATGTAAATTTTTCAAATAAATGAATATAGATCCAGGTTCTCCATATACTCTATGAAGATCAAAAAATTAATGTAGGATGAAAATCATCTGTACAGTAAATATTAGAACTATACCAAATACAATTCATTTTGCAGCCACCTCTTCCAAAGTTCATTTCTTTGTGTAGAAGATTGATTTCTAAAGCAAAACATAAAAGATTCCAAAGTATAAGCATGGGCTAGTGAATTTTAGGCAAAATCAGGATAATTACCTTATCAGGTATTTTATGATATATGTTTTCTAAAAAAATGAGGAACAATAAGTAGTGATCTATATCAGTCTCCTGGGTTTTGATCATTCTTTTATTCCTTGTTATCGTTGTTAAGTGCTGTCAAGTCATCTTCAACTCATAGAGATCCTGGATAGATTCCTGAGGAGTGGCTGGTGGGTTTGAACTGCCGCCGACTTTGCATTTAACAGTCCTGTACTTATCCTACAATGCCACACCAGTACCCTTAGGCACAGAGTTTAGCTTTTCTTTGTAGTAAATTGTCATTATCTGCATTGTCAACAGAATTTGCATATTCTTGTCTCCTGAGAGGAATCCCTACTTGTTGCAAACAGTTAAGTGTTGAGCTGTTTACTGAAAGGTTGGCTGTTCAAATCCACATCTTGGAATCTGATTTCATAAGGTCAGAACCATGAAAATATTATGGCTCATAGTTCTCTTCAGACACACATGATGTCTACCTGGGTTAGAACAGACTCCCTAAGAACTAGTGCTTTATAGCAAAGGCCATCCCAGTCAAAGGTTGTTGCATGGGAGAACTGAAGCCCAAAAGGTTCAGTGGTCTGGACCTCTCTGCACATTGTCTACAGACAAAATTTTTCCCTTTTTTTTAATTATCATGATTTATATTATATAAAAATGTCTTTGAACTATCTGTAAAATCTACTTAATTATGTTTATTTCAGATGAGATTGGGCATGTTCAGGATGGTATGGTTGTGGACTAATTATATTTATTTCAGTGTGTAATAATTTTAGTCCATGTGTGCTGTCTTCTAGAGTTTGATTGATCACATACACATTTTCATAAAAGTGCTAAGATGCTAACTGAAAGGTTGGTAGTTTGAATCCACCAGCCCTTCTGCAGAAGAAATATGTGCTTCCATGAAGGTTGTTGCTGTTGTTGTTATGTGCCGTGGAGTCGGTTCCGACTCATAGTGACCCTGTACAGGGTTTCCGAGGCTGTAAATCTTTACAGGAGCAGAAAGCCTCATCTTTCTTCCACGGAACAGCTGGTAGTTTCGAACTGCTGATCCTGAGGTTAACAGCCCGATTCATAACCACTACTCTACTAGAGCTCCTTTCTGTGACGATTACAGCCTTGAAAACCTTATGGGGCTGTTCTACTCTGTCCTGTAGGATCACTATGACCTGTAATGAACCCGATGGCAACAGGTTTGGTTTTGGGGTTTTGACATCATTCACAGACTTGCTATCATTAAAACCTAAGTTGTGTTCTATGATGTAAAAGTTTCCCAATAATCTTATTGCTGAGAGTCTATGTGCTAGAGCAGAAAGAACGCAGACTTTGGAGTTATATCCCACTTACTCTGTGGTCTACATCAAAATCTCCATCCTTAACAACTCTAAACCTGGAAGCGCTAATCTGATGACTGCATTTTATGAGTCCTTAGCACAAAAGCTAAATGGAGTTCAAGAGATGGTAGTTCTTGTCTTCTTTTGTCACTGTCTTTCTCTTGAGTCTTGTCTTCCTGTCTATTCCATCTGGCAAGGCCCAAGTGTAAAGTTGCTGTTTATGTTGTTGAAAACAAATCTTTCCAATGAGTAAGTCATTGATTTTGCAAAATTCTATCGTGCAATCTATTATCAAAGCTACGCTTTCCAACCTTTCTTTCCAAACTACAGTAATTATCAATACATCTTGATTGCATATATGACCAATTTCAGACAATAGAAATTGGTAAAAGAATCTTCAGTTTCTGCATATGTGATCTTGTTATTGATTTGTTGTTGTTGTGAAGTGCCGAGTCAGGTTCTGATCCTGTAGAGGGTTTCCAAGGAGCAGCTGGTAAGCTTGAACCACTAACCCTGTGGTTCAAACTGACTTTGCAGTCTAGCACATGAACCCACAGTGCCACACTAGAACTTTGCCACGCCAGGACTCCTGGTGTGTGATATTAGTTGTTGTTGTTAAGTGCCATAGAGTCGGTTCTGACCCATAGCAATCCTGTACAGGGGTTTCCGAGGGTGTAAATCTTTACGGGAGTAGAAAGCCTCATCTTTCTCCCATGGAGCGGCTGGTAGTTTCGAACCGCTGACCTAAAGGTTCGCAGCCTGATTCATAACCACTACGCTACCAGAGCTCTTAGTAGTGGGCTTAAATTTTAATAATACTTGTATTAACTGGCCTTCCTTGAGGGATATGGATATTAATTAGCCTATCACTGGCGGCATTGTACTTCAGGGTAGACATTGAAATATTCTTTTTTATGATAAATGTGACACCATTCTTTTTCAATTTGCCATTCCCAAAATAATAAACCATCTGATTGTCTGAATCAAATGGTCCATCCTAGTGTATT